GGCCAGAGAGGAGCATGGTGAACTCCAGCTAGTCGGTGCTCCCGCTGACCTCCACCGCCATCGAGCACATGAAGCTGGATATGAATGGGGCAGAAAGGCGGCAAAGAATCGAGCACATGAAGGAGAGAGGGGGCTAGGGCGGCGCCATGGAAAAAATGGGAGGAGCAGGGGCAACGCCGACGGCGCCATGGGAAGAACGAGAGGAGCAGGGGCAGCGCAAGGGGGAATGGAAAGCCGTCTCGACAAGGTAGCACCTGACCCACGCGCGCGACGATAGGAGCGAGATCGTGTGGCCAGCACCCGGCCGCTCGACTCGTCTAAACAGTGCGCGTGCACTTTTTAGATTTTAGGTTAATTGTATCATCGAAGATGCAACTGTGTTTGTAAGCTTCATCTTGGTGACATGTAAGGGGGTATCTATCTATTATGTTAGAAATATTTTAGCTAAGCTGTGTTTTTGCGGGTACTAATCGATCGGTCATCACCCATCACAAGCTAGATATACATAATCTACTACTATGTGTTAGTTTGATGGATTTATGGATTTATAGTGCTCTTTGCCGGGGGTGGAAAGTTAATCCTGACAGTCATATCTCATATGTATCGTGCTGAAAGTGTTTGATTCCACGTGCACGCATTACTCGTTTATTAAATCTTGGCCAATGCTACGCGTAGACCGGCTGATGGTAGGGGTTTTTAAACCGCCTTGCCAGCCGTTGATCTGCGTTAATTTGGGCCGCTTGATCCCTGAATCATAACATTACTTCCATCCCAACAAAGCATATACTCCTATCTTTCAGGCACAGATTGGTGCATCCTCGCTCCCACGGGATGAGCTTCAGTTGACCAACATGCACTAGTTGTAGCGCTCAGGTAGCAGCAGCCGCGTCACCTGTCATCTCACACCAACAACGCCGACGAGCTCACCATGCACGAGCCACGGCTGCAGCGTCCGGTTGCCGCAACGTCACTACTGTTAGGTTTCGGCGGTCGACAATGATCTATCGCAGCACCGGTGATGCTCCGACGGCCCGAGAATGCTTCATTGCAGGACTGGCGATGCTCCGGCGGCCCCGACGATGCTCCATTGCAGCACCGGCAGGGTTTTGGCAGCCTAATGATGCTCCATTGCAGCACCCGTGAGTTTTCGCTTTTCGGCGGCCAATGATGCTCCATCACAGCACCGGTGATCCTCTGGCGGCTCGAGAATGCTCTATCACAACACTGGCGACACTCCGTTGCAGCACCGACAGCCGCATACGAGTGATGCGTCGCAGCACCGGTATCCGTCTAGGCATCGTGAGTGCTCCATCGCAGCACCAGCCACGCCAACGGCTAATGGAGCAAAGGCACGTCACTGGACGGTTTGCGGCATAGGCGCCGTCCCGCGGCCCATCCACGGCACCACCCGGAGTGAACGACGACGACCTCGCAACACCTGCAGCGAACCACAGCACAGCACGATAGCAGCAGGCGCCGCGAGCGCGCGACCTCACGCCCCCGCGAGTAGCAGGTGCAACCAGCGTCCTTGCAGCAGCTGCGTCCAGGAGATCTCATAGCAGCTGCGCCTGGGAGAGCTCACAGCAGCTCGTGGCCGGTGTGGAGCACGGAAAGCACCTAGCGTCTTGCACGAGGGAAACCAAAGGATGTTGGGGATGGACGGAGAGAAGAGGAAGATGCTCTCATGGGAGTTGTAGCAAGAGGATGAGTGGCTCACCTCGCCGGAGGAAGGGTGTGAGAGAGAGAGGAGAGGGTCGGCCGTGCCGGAGAAGAGTAAAACTGCAGAAGTGAGGAGGTGTAGAGGATAAGGTACTTCCTCCGTTTTTATTTACTCTGCATATTAGAGTTGATTGAAGTCAAACTTTTTAAAGTTTGACCAAGTTTATAGCAACGAATATAAATAGATATCATAACAAATTTATATGATGTGAAAGTACATTTAATAATGAATCTAACTGTATTGAATTGTTATTGTATATGTTAATATTTTTGTCTAAAAGTTTAGTCAAAGTTTACAAAGCTTGACTTTGACCAAACCTAATACGCGGAGTACGAACCCAAGAGAAAGGATAAGGACGAGGGGTGCAAGCGGTAACGCACGCCTGTGTCCACAAGGACACGTGTGAGGCGTACGACGTGGCTTAAGTCGAAAATCAGTCAGTTGAAGCGAAGACTTTTTTCCTTAAATCTTTTGCTAATGCTAATAATAAAGAGGCTATTGCTTCTTACCATCGTAATGGTTTATTTTAGTCCTTTTCGTTTGGTTTACACAGGCTAAGCGATTTGGGCCACGTACTATAAAAAGAGAGGCTAGAAGCGTATGCCATAGGCAGGGACACGTACGTGTTTAATATAGACAAGATGTACATGAGTCGGTTAGGCAGTAGAATTGATCTCCAAGAAACTAACAGAGAAGAGATCGATCCTAACAGCCTAACACGGTTTACAGGAAGAGATAAACACACGCACGCGTCCTATACATTCTACAGTTTATACAACACCGTATATAATGTTTAACAGGTACTTGTATGTTGATGGCCTTTTATGGGTTTTCATAGAGATCGCGAAAAATAATTGGGTCAAAATAATTCAACATTGTGGGACGACCTATGCACCTTTCATATTTACTCCCCTCAAAAAAAAACCTTTCATATTTACTAATCCCAACTCACTCTAAATATACGAGTGACAGTCATCATATTTAGGGCGAGCTAATTAAGCGAATGAGCTAATAAAGGAAGGATTGTAGGCTTAAATAGAATATTTAAATGGATGTGGTTAATTAAAAAAAGGATTATAGATAAATCGGTGGAATAACTAAAAGAAAGATTGTGGTGTTAATAAATTCTAGAATATTTAAATGGATGTGGTTAATTAAAAAAGGATTAAAGGTAAATCGGTGGAATAACTAAAAGAAAGATTATGGTGTTAATAAATTCTACATGAAAGATTTAAGGTAAAAAGTAGGATAATTAAAAGGAATGATCCGTAGACTTCAATGTGTTGGGGCTACTAAATTAGAAAAGGAAGGATTTGATTCCCGACTAAAATAGATGAGGACGTCATGGTAATTAATGAAAGGATTATACTTGAATACCATTAAAATGATTATACTTAAATGGAATCAGTGGGAGACTATTCCCGGCAAAAAAAATATGAACACGGCTAAATTGCAACGTATTTTTTATGTTCATTTTGTAGAAGAATGCTAGCATGTTCTTTGTAGTTAATCCGGTGCTGTGGGACATTATGCTTACACAAAATATTAATTTTTCCCGTTGCAACGCACGGGCATATGTGCTAGTGCTAATAATAAAGGGGCTATTGCTTCTTACCATCGTAATTTCGTCCGTTTTTTATCCGTCCGTCGTCCGCCCACTTCGCCCATAGTATTTTCTATATATCCGATGTGGTACTATTCATATGATTTTTTTGGTCGCGAGCTCAACTGGTTGGGCCTCGACCTCAAGTTTCGTACGTCCGGCTCGACAACACATGACCCGTTTCCTTTTTGAGCGAACCATCCGTTCTTTTCTTTGTGCCAGCAGAAAACTATAGAGGCCAAATATTTCAGCCCACATATCTGGCCGGTGTAAGGTTTCTTTTTTTTAGCGAACGATCTGTGGCCCCGCGATATAGGAGGCAAAATTTGTTCGGCCAGGTGAATTGAAAAACTAATAACGTGGCCAACTAACCTAGCTCGTGTTTTTCTTTTTTGCGAAGTAACCTAGCTCATGTTTTGTGTGTACAAGGAAAGCTTGATTCACACGTTAAATTAGTCCCACCTCGCTTCTTTGTACTAATTCTCACCAATTCAAATATGGACGAGTTAAACAAGTCAACAAGCAGCCTCGAGACTTGATACAGAGAGATCGATGATGCCGCAAGAGAACTAGGAATGGCCCTGTGGAGGAAGAGAGATAACGTGGGAAGTAAAGGCACGCGGGCGGGAAAGAGGATAAGTGGCGACATGGATGAGATGTCATGTTAAAATAGAGAACATGCACGCGCGGGTTTCCTGTGCTTTCTCTTTGCCCGGCTGGTGGTTGGCGCCGGGTCATTGTGTAATAGCTAGGCATGCGACAGCTGCATTCAATGGGTTGAGGCACCTTCCCGCAATATTGTACACATCTTGAGCAATATATTCAGGTGAAGACGCTCTGTCACCTCAACTCTCAATCAAAATCTCAGCTCGAATCATTTACGCCGCTCAAGTCTCCACACGACAAGCTAGCAGAAGCACACGACTCACAGCTCTAAAATTCTTTTATGCTATCAAGATTCTTAGTTTCAAGTTCAAGGTAGTCAAATACATACAGATAATAGAGTAGCAACATGAAATGGATTACTGAAACCAAGCAATAACAACTACTTGCTATGTCGAAGGGGTGAAAACAGCACAGCAGGTTGCCTCTAGCTCGGGCCTCGGCCGGTCGTGTGATGGATCATCGCTGCTGCTGCTGGTTCTCCCTCCGACGCGCGTACCGGGTCCTGTCGTTGTACCTTGGCCTGTCCGAGGCTCTCTGTGGCACGGGCTCCACCCTCCTCTGCCTCTCGGGAGATCTCTGCACAATCTCCCCATTCACAAACAGCTCGGCTGCACATCACAACCAAACGTTGGAATAAGATTATCAGTATCCTCTCCTCAAACACGTATTACAAATATCGCCGAACATGTAAAGCAAGACATAAGCGAATGAAGCATCTCTTTTGTGTCAACGTTTCATAAACAGAAACTTGCACACTACATCAAGGTGAAGGAAAAAATTAATAGTATGCTACTCCCTCCATTCATAAATATAAGATGTTTTGCATATTTTAATATGGACTACATACGTACTAAAATGAGTGAACAAACAGACTAAAACATGTCTATGCATCTTATATCTGTGACCGCAAGGAGTAAAATCCAGAAACCAAGGCGACCAGAACATGTTCGGCGATATAATCCACACTAGAGGCACCTATCTTACCCCAAATCTCATGGTAAAATTAGCAAGGCAGAGCATTTCTCTTAGATATAATCAACACTAGAGGCACCTATCTTACCTCTATAGATATTTTGCCATGCTTTGTCAGCACAAATACCATTAGAGAATATACAGGGACTTGTTAGGATCCCATTAGCACTCAAAGCAAGAATCACGCACTAAACTTCATTGCTTCAGCCACATGGACTGTATAGCAAATTTTGGTAGTTGAAGATAGTTATAAATACCCAACTACACAGAAATGCTCATAGCACTTGATACCGTGCACTGTTACTGTTATATATATATACACACAATGCTCATAGCACTTGATTGTGTGCGTTAGGTGTCAGTGCCCACCCTGGATAGATTAGAGCAGCAATGGTTGTAAGTTGTAACTAAAGAGGGAATATGTTTCGTGATAATTTATTGTACCTCTCACCTCTACAAATATTTTCCAATACTTGGGGCATAAATAACTTTCAGAGAATATGCAGGTACTTTTTACATATTTACATGCCCGTAGCAAGAATCGCACACTAGACTTCATTGCTTCGACCACATGGACAACAGAGCAAATGTTGGAAGTTGACAATATACTCGTAAATACACAATTATACACTTTGCTCCTACAACTTTATATGGTGCATTAATGTTTAATGATGTATTATACATACTGCCTACAGCACTTGATAGTGTTTGCTAGGCTTCATTGCTCAGCAGAGACAGGTTAGAGCACCAAAGATTGCAATTACAGAGGGAGTACGTTCCATGATTAGTTTTTCTACAAACATACACAACCATCTAAAAGTTTATCAGCAACCGAATCAAATATATTACTCATAAGGCTGCATCAGACCACCTAGATGGAATCATTTAAATGATACTGGACAATAGGTGTCTTGCTGGTTGGCACAAAACAATCAGTCTGCAGAAATCTAAAATGGTTGTCGATTTGAGCAGTCCTGATCCCACAAAGAACCAAATAGTCTAGCTCCCTTCCATGGATGGCATACCAAACAAAACAAACCAGAAGATGGTTGCAGGATAAGTATAGTATGTCCATAATTACCTCCATAGTCCTTGTGTTCAGGGTCCACATAGGAATCAGGGAGTACAAACAGAACACCAGGAATCCCTGCAGCACACCATACATAATTAAAAAATGCACAGAAGGAGAAACAGCTCATGACTGGTTTTCAATGTAGTCAAGCACAAAAACCTTCGAGCTTGTTGGATGTCTCCTCGTCGATCTCACACCCGAACCCGAAGTAGCGCTCGCACGAGACGTTGTAAATCTTCCTCTTGGCCTCCTCCTCGCTGCGACAACATTCAGAGACAGAGCAACATCATATCATCAGGCTTACATGAACAGTACTTGACAGAAGGTAACACTGAGCTGGTCTTCCAACCCAAGCAAGACTCAAATTTGCAGTCTTTGTCATTCATTCCCGAGCAATGAGTGGGACTGGCCGAGCCGATCTCGCAACGGGATAGAGGCTGGACGGACGGGTACCTTCCGAGGACCTTGGCGAGGGTCTGGACGTAGCAGTCGATCATCTGGTGCTTGGAGGCGCCCTCGCCGCCGGGCTTGTCCATGACGATCAGCCAGTGCTCGTAGTCGCACCCGGGGAACAGCGGCGCCATCTCCGTGGGCGCGCGGTCCCCTCCTCCGCCACGCGCAGGGGCGTACCCGTCGCCCCCCGGCCGCCGCGCCATGCCCCTGGCGCCCCCGGCGCCGCGGAGGAGGAGGGACGAGGTGTACCCGACGGCCGCCGGGCGCAGCATCTCCATCGCCGCCGCGGCCGGGGCGCGCGGGACGGACGGGGCGGAGACGATGCGGCGGGAGATGAGGAGGCGCATGGCGGTGGACGGCGAGGAGGTGGTGGGGGAGAGCAGCCTGCGGGCCATGGCGGCGGCGGCGGCGGCGGCGGCGGCCATGGAGAGGGAGGGAGATGGGGAATTCGGGATGGAGCCGGGACGGAGACCTACGGGGGTTTAGGGGACATGGGTTTAAGCTTAAATGGGCCTCTTGCTGTCGTATGTGTGGGCTCAGGATCGCATGGGCCTTTCTCAGCCCACGTCAGTTTGTGTTTCTGGGTTTGGGAATTTGGTTTTTCTCAACAACAACAACAAAAAACAAAGTAGTACTACCTCTATAGATTGTCAAGAAAAAAAAAGGTAGTAGTACTCTAGTGTTTTTAATTTGTGTAACTTTGTCCATGAGTTTAGGAGCTCGAATTTCCAAGCTCACAATTTAGCGAAGCATGCTTTACGTCTAGGGGTTGGCTGCAGTGTCTGGTTAGGCCAACCCGATGATCTTTCGTTCTTTCCTATAATCATTGTGACGGTTCAATCAAGCTTGGCGAGATTGTCTAAAAAGAAAAAGTAGTAGTGGGTGTGCATTTGATAATTAGCTCCAAAATATTGTATTTATTGATCAAGAGGAGAATCGATTTATCGAACGGGCTTTGATTCTGTTAAGGAAAGGGTTACCAGCAGTTGTTGAGTTAGTAGGAAATTTACCTGACATAAACAATAGCTCATCTATAACCTATAATACCTAAATAGTTCATACCCACAAACATATTTCTCTTGACATGCAGCTTATCCACCTCACCAATCTGCCACATCATCAATTGTTTTTTTCTATTTTAACCAATTTCTATTGATATTTAGAGGTGTTGCAGCGTCCTGTCCTTTTTCCATATTTACTGAGTGAAGCTCAATGGTCTCATAAGAAGAAGCCCAGCGGCCACATGCTCTCCGTTTCGACCTCACGCATGCGGCCCCTCAAAAAAAATGTGGCATCAGCATGCATCCATTCATCTCATCGTTATGCTCCACCCTCCCCATCCAATGTTTTAATGCACATCTCGGTACAGTACTTAACTTCTGACGGTCTGACCCGCTCCACCTGCTTGGAGTGGAGTGCAGATGAGTGCTTCTCCCGCACTCCACTCCAAGCAGGCAAGCACCAACAAGGTACATTCTTCGCCTACTGTCGATGACGCCCACCTCCACACAAAGCACAGCCCGACAACAACAGCACTGCCCTCCCCGCCGCGCATCGACGCAGTGCCCTTCAGCGTATCCACCACACGGCTGCCGATGGCAGGGGCGGCGGATTTCAAGGTCTCGGCATGGTGGCAACTTTTACACGGTATACGGAAATTAATCGGCCCCTACGCCTCCGTCGTCCAACGTCCCAGCCGTTCATGGCGCGCGGCACAGGGCCTGGCCCTCGGCGCTTCATTGCTCCCAACGAGTCACGTCATGCATCATGGCTGCCGAGGACAGCGCCCGGAACGACGACATCCCCATCACGCGGGTCTCTCTCTCTCTCTCTCTCTCTCTCTCTCTCTCTCTCTCTCTCTCATCCGTACAAGCCTTCAACCCTTCGGTACCCCAACGTCCAATACTCTGCATCTGACCTGGCTGACCCCAGCGATCACTGCTTCCGTCGGCAAGGAGTTGCGACCTGCGGTGACCCCCGTTGCAACCGAGCTCGACCGAAGGTGAGAAAAAAGATATGAGATTTGACCCAAAATTTGTTTGGTCTTTTGGAATCGTGAGCGTCTAGAGTTTGATAAGGTGAGAGATCCTTTACTTTATTTTGCTGAAGGCATTTTGTTCAAAATTTTCACCATGGGATTTTGGACTACGCGCGTCAACATTTAATCAGAAGAAGATTCTTGAATGCCCCTATTCTGGAGACTATATCTGCGTGGTGTGGTCTGTCAGGGAATTTATTATAGGTGGGTTCTAATTCATGTATGCTGCTTGCATGTGAGGGTGTTGGCCTAGCCGGTACCTGAGACAGTGACTCTATTCGTACCACCTGATAAGAGTTATAAAACAGGCACTGATCAGTAATCATCACCGGCATGATTTTGTACCTAACTAACTGGCTGATCGCCAGGAAGGAGGTGACGCAGACCAGTCGGGCGAAACCTGTGTGGAAGAAGGCGACCAAGGTGACGTTCGAGGGCATGTGTTCGTTTTTCTTCTCATTAGACGAAATTATCAAAGGCACGTATGACCTTAGCTATCTTACCATCATTTTTTCCACCTTTTTTTTGGTAGAAATCCATGAAGGGCGATTCACATATGAACGTGCATGTATTTCAAAAATCAGCTTATCATATAGTCTGAAGATGAAGAATCTATATTCGCCTCCCAGTTTTGCACTATGGATGATTAAACATTGAGAAGTTTATATTGTGAGATATATTAACCGAAGCATTTTCTGTGCAGGGTTGGTTTTCAAAATTCTAAGCCTGTTTAATTAGCTTCGAGAGGAATGCTACTAAGATCTCTGAAGCCGTCTTACTCGATATTTCTATTAGAGAAATTATGCTATATACTTTTGTTAAGCATGTTCCATTCTCCTGCATTTTTCATAGAATACTACTTAATTTGACTTGATATATATGTTCGTTCAAGAGGGGGGAGGTTTAGATGTTTTGTTTCGCATGGCCAAAGAGTATTAGTATCCCAGTTCACTGTGTGCCGATAGTAGGATTTGTAAGTAGGTATTATTGAGCTACGTACTGAGATGATATTGTTTTTACTCTGATGGTGTAAGTCACGACATCCAAAGATTTGTAGGTAGTTTTCTGCATTCATATTGTAATCTGAAAATGCACAAAATTTATCTCCATGTTGTATTTGTTTTGCAGCATGCAGATTATGTTTGTAATTCCCATGTTATTTTTCATGCTAATTGTACTAAAGTGTAACGCCCCATATGTAACCTTCCCCAATTGTACTCCAACTCTTGCCGTTTCCGGCATTAAGTTATATTTAATTCTCGGGTTCGGGTCTTTGCCTCCGTGTGTTGTTTTGTTTTTCGTGCATCTCATATCGCGTCATCACGTGCATTGCATTCGCATACATGTTCATCTCATGCATCCGAGCATTTTCCCCGTTGTCCGTCTTGCATTCCGGCGCTTCGTTCTCCTCCGGTGGCCATTTCTAGCTTTCTTTCGTGTGTGGGGATTAAACATTTCCGGATTGGACCGAGACTTGCCATGCGGCTTTGGTTTACTACCGGTAGACCGCCTGTCAAGTTTCGGGTCATTTGGACATCGTTTGATACTCCAACGGTTAACCGAGGGACCGAGAAGGCCTCGTGTGTGTGCAGCCCAACACCCATCCAATTTGGCCCAAAACCCACCAAACTCAGCTCCATCGTCTCGGTCGTTCGATCACGATCGTGTGGGCGAAAACCGCACCTCATTTGGACTCTCCTAACTCCCTCTATGCCTATTTATACCCCCTTCATTCGGATCTCGTCTTCCTCCTCCGAAACCCTATTTTTTTTTCTTTCCCCCAGATCTGCTGCTCCTCCCGCCGACGGACACGTCCGATTCGGGCCGGACGTGTCCGCCTCCGCCCGCCGCCGCCACTTGGCGTCCGCCGGTTGGACCGCGCCCCGCGCCCACATCGCCTCAGCGC